GGGGGGATGGGTTAGCCTGGTGACGGGTATTAAAGAGGGCACGTTCTGCGTGGAGCACTGGGTGTTATGCACAGACAATGAATCATGGAACACTACATCAAGAACTAATGATGTAGTGTATGGTGATTAACATAACAATAAAAAATTAAAAAAAAAACCTAAGCCCCCCCCCCAAAAAACTAATCTCAGATGTTACTACCTTTCCCCCCCTTCACTTGGCTCTAGCACAGTGGTCTCCTCGCCAGGATTCACTTCGACCTCAGGGCTTTTGTACACTTGCCATTCTCTCTGCCTGGAATTCTTTCCCCCCAAGTTCCCTACATGGCTCACACTCTCCACTGCCTTCACATCTTTACTCAGATGTCATCTTCTTGTTAAGGTCTTTCCTGACCACCCTGTTTGAAATGATATTCCCATCCCTAGTCTCTGGCACTCCTGCTTGCCCTTTTCTTGATTTATTTTAGCCATACTGATCACTACCTGACAAGCTATATATTTTTTTTATTGTTAATCTCCCCACAATAGAATGTAAGCTTTACAAGGGCAAGGATTTTGAACTATCCCCTTCATGGATCCATCTCTCCCCAGCTCTTAGAACAGTGCCTGGCACACAAGAGGTGCTCAATAAATATTCAGCCAAAACTGTTGCTCTCCCTATCATCCTAAGGGTTCTAGTAAATATGATTTTAGTTTGCTTCTATGTCCTGGAAAAAAAATCCAATGACCAGACTTTGTGACGCACTTTGCTCAAAAACACTAGGGAAAAAAAAAATCACACTCACCAGGGGTGCCAAGAAATCTCTTTGGAACCCATCCTAGAATAAGATTTAGTTTCTAGGTTTGTTTTGTTTGAATCCAAAAGTGGATCCAAAGATCTCAATTTTTTTTTAAAAAAAGTGTGAATATAATATAACATTATTTATATAAAATAAGTTTTTATTCCCTTGAATTAAAAGTATATATATTATAGAATATTAATAATTTCTGGAGGACACTAACAAATTAATGTAAATACTTCTGGGATCAAGATTTAAGAGCTCATGAAACGGAACTCTTTGGGTACCAAGAGAGCAGACGTTACTTCTGCTTTCTGTACTATTTTGACAATTATGTCCCTATAACTGCTCTTTTTATTGTTAATGATGGCTCCGATTTATTGTCTACTCCTTCTATATCACTTGACACTGGGTTTGTACACAAAATCTTGTTTAACCCTCACATTATTCTTCTAGGGAAGGCATAATTTTTTTTTAAAATTTCCATTTCACAGATGAGGAAGTTGAGACTTAAGAAAGTTAAGTGAGGGGCGCCTGAGTGGCTCAGTTGGTTGAGCATCTGCCTTTGGCTCAGGTCATGATCCCAGGGTCCTGGGATTGAGCCCCATGTTGGGTTCCCCGCTTCTCCCTCTGCTGCTCCCCCTGCTTGTGCTCTCTCTCTCACTCTGTCCCTGTCAAATAAAGAAATAAATAATTAAATAATTTTTAAAAAGAAGGTTAAGTTGAACAGGGTTCTGCTGTTACCAATAGAAAGAGGTGACACCTCTTTCTTTATATTCCTTACCACCTTTGTCCGCATCATTTTTAACATAGTAGTATCAACAATTCCTCTCTCTCTCTCTCTCTCTCAAATAAATAAATAAATAAATAAATAAATAAATAAATAAAATCATTCAAAAAGGGTGGGGGTGCCTGAGTGGCTCAGTTGGTTAAGCACCTACCTTTGGCTCTGGTCATGATCTCAGTGTCCTGGGATTTAGCCATGAGTCAGGCTCCCTGCTCAGCAGGGCATCTGCTTCTCCCTCTGCCCCTCTCCCCCTGCTTGTGCTGGCTCTCTCAAATAAATAAATAAACAGAATCTTTTGAAAAAAAAAAAAACTGTCAGGATGCCTTCCCTTAATCCTTTCCTCATGTCATCCTAATTAGAAGGACCTGTGGCTCTTTCGATTCAGGGCAGTCATTTAAAAGCGATAATTCTTAAATCCTTGTTTCAAACTTCTTACACATAAAATCTTAATCAAATTACCCAGATTCTTTTACGCATTTTCCTAAGCAGCAAGAGAGATACGAATTTATACCTGTTATTATTTTCCAGAGAGGTAGAAATCACAGAGATGAACTCTTGGAAGGAAAACTGTACCCGTGTTGCGACAGTAAACTCACCCACAGGGAGGTCTTGTTTTTCTCCCCCATCAGCCTGTCCCTGTTTTTGTCTTTTTGTGCCCCCTGCAGTTGGAACAAAGCTTGGTGAATAGTGAGCACAAAATAGAGAATACTGAATGAAGGGTAGATACATAAAGTCAGGATACACTACATTTTCTGCTCTAGCATAAACTTCCTTGGTAGTTTTCTCTTTAACCTCCCTGTTCACCATTGGATGAAATTTGCCAGATTTGATTCCAACCCCACCCCCCACTCCAACTTCCTTCTTAAAAATATGCTCAGGGTTAAGGCTTTCTTTCTGTAATCCAGAGGAAAATGACTTATTTTAAAATGCAGTAAAAACACCGCATTCCTTTGGCACAGGATGAAGACCAGCTCAGCTCTTCAGCCCTGGATCATTGTCTATTGTTCTCCAAACAGTAAACCACTATTTTTCACCAGAGATTGCGGGCTGCAGTTCTGTCCGAGCCCTGGGCTTCTCATGAATATGAAGTGAAGGGCTCTGACCCAGAAAGTGGTAGGTAATCTCAAAAAGAAAAAAGAAAAAGGGACAGGTAGGAAGAAAATTAGACTTTATGTAATTCTACACTCTTGAAATCTCCGGCAGGTTCTGAGCGGGGTAAAATGGGGTCTCGGAAATGTGGAGGCTGCTTAAGTGGTCTGCTGATTCTGCTTGCACTTTGGAGCATAATTGTGAATATATTATTGTATTTCCCAAATGGGCAAACTTCCTATGCATCCAGCAATAAACTCACCAACTACGTGTGGTATTTTGAAGGAATCTGTTTCTCAGGTATCATGGTAAGTGTGACTTTGGAGACTTGGGGTTGCAGAAGGGGGTGTTTTTACTAAGCATTGTCTTGTTCCTAGCAGAAATAATGAATAATGGAAAAATCATGCCACTAATCCTGGGTTTAGGATTTGGAAGATGGGTGGGGGTAGAGGGACAGGTAGTCTGTGAGGGCTTGGGAGGGTGGCTTTGTCTTCGGTAAGCTGCCCATTTATGTCACTTCAGCAGTGCAGGAAATTAGTCCTAATGAAAGTCTGTGGGTTGCTGGCTGGTCGAAATATTATGTCCTCATGAACCCTGTGTGTTGGTTTAAGCTGTTTAATGTCCGGTGGCAGTGCTCTTTTCTAGAATACTTTCTATCTGCCCTCATGATTTCTCTAGATTGGAGAGGTATCAAGACCGCGTGGAAAAAACAGAGATTTGGAGATTCAAATTTGTGTTCAAATACAAGCTCTGCCATTTGTGTCATGAGACCTTGAGGAAGTTCCTCAATGTCTTTGAGCCTCAGTGTCTCCATCTGAAAAATGGGAGTGATAGCATTTACTTTTTAGGGTAATTGTGGGGATTCAGTAAAATCTCATGAAGGAAGTGCCCAGGACAGAGGCTGATATGTATAGGTAGCCAGCGAATATTGTGATTATAAATACTTGTTGAAGAATGGGCCAGATCATCATTAAATAGTCTGATATTATACACCTCATAATGGGGGATGTTTCTGAAAATGAAATCAAATTATTTACAGTCAGAATCCATGAATGTTTTCCTGATGTCTTTGTGCTCTTTAAAAACAAGCTGATAGTAAATCATGTTGGCAAGTCAGAGGAAAAAACACTTTTCCTGATCATATCATTTCTAAAAACAGCACATTGTGCACTACAAGCTTACTATACCACCAATGACATAAAAGAAAATGCATTATAATTTATCTCTACATCTTCACAGGTGCTTAATTATTATAATATTTGAATAACTATGATGAAAACAGTTTTCATTTAGTTACTAATTTACATATGAAGTTAGTCAACTTTAAAGTATTGATACCCAGTGCTATTGAAGTTGCTATGTGATAGACAGGTACATAATGAATGTTTGGTTATTGTACTATAAGTGAATGCAAACCTTTTGGAGAAGATTTTGATATGCTATATTAAGATCCATGAAAATGTTTGTCTTTTGACTTAGTAATCCTAAACCTGAGAATAAATTCTGAGCAAATAATCCATAATAAGGAAAGAGATGCATACATAGATATTTATGGCATTATTTCATAATAGTAAGTAATTAGTAGGAGCCCCCTAGCATAGAATTGGCCAAATAAATTGTGGTACATTCACTTTCTATGGTGATGAAAATGATAATTATGAAGATGTAATAACATGGAAAATGCATATTATTTTGTGTTAAGAAAAAAAGAAAAGATACAAAAATTGTGAATAAGTTACGATTACAATTATGCAAAATATACACATGTGGTAATATACTGGGAGTAAATACATAAAAACATGTGAGGGTGTGGGATTTGGGGTAATGTTCCTCCATTATGCTTGAGCCCTGTATTCCAGTTATAATTTTACAATGAAAAAAAAAGCAGTTTCTCTTTCAACACAAGCGATGCCTGTGTTTCTCTTAGGACACAGGACTCCAGGGTCTAGGTCTAATTATTTCTACTAATATTGTAATGAAGCCAGTTACTGTACCAGTTGCACTGTGCCTTCTCTCATCATTGTTTCCCTCAATATGTCACTGTAGTCAATAGAAGGGTTGCAAGGCATTGATAAGATTAAACCAGAATCTACTAAAATCTGCGATAACTAATGGTGTTGAAAGGAGGAGAATATAAGACTCTTTGGCCTATATTCTGTGTAAAATTTAAAAGTTAGAAAAGAACCAGTTCTCTATTTTCCATTGTCAAAGAATTCTTGAAAAACATGATTGTTACTGCATCAAATCTTTTTAAGAGAAAGAAGAGGGATGTAGATAAATAAATAAGTAGACAAACAAAAGCTGACGAACTTGGAAACTGGAAATGTTGACTGCACATAGTAAAATAACAATGAACTCAGCTTCAAGATTCAGTCCTGAGCATTGGGGGTAAAGGATAGGTGGAGAATTTGTCAGAAGCAATTCACGGTCCATACCTCCCCAAACTGGGAACTATTACAGTAAAGAAATCCACGTTCATTTCAGAACTTCAGCCCTTTGCTTAAGATACCAAGAAAAGGAAGTAGAATACATTGAATTCTCCCAGTCTGTCGGCTTGATAGAGACAAAGCACACTTGAAAATTTGAACCTGAGATGACTTGAATGCTTGGGCAAATCAAACTGACTTTACTTTGAATTAAGACATATAGTTGCAGATTAACCATGCCTCTCACCTGCATTCCCAGAGGGCAGTAAGTGGAGAGAGGCTGGCAAACAGCAAAGTCTGGTGAATGATTTTCCTTTGACCTCTGCAACTGAGTCAGTGAGAAATGCAGGTTTGCTGTGTGGGGTGGTATTCCCATGTCCATACCATTTACTGCTTAATCATTAGCTTTTGATGCCATGCCAATAATAGCTAACATTTATCAATCACTTACTATAAATCAAGCACTATGTTCAAAATTTTGCATACGTGACCTCCTAACAACTCAATGAGATGAGTTCCCAACACCATTTTATAGGGAAGGACTCTCAAGCTCACACAGCTAGAAAATGGCAGCACTGGGATTCAAACCCAGGTCCACTTGACCCCAGAGTCCCTGCTCTGAATCACTGTGCTCTGATTATGACTAGTATTTCATTTCTGATATTTCCTCTCTTCCCTACTACAGATGCTTATAGTAGCAGCAGTTCTTCTTGTATTGGAGAATGATAGCAACTATAAATGTTGCCAGAGTGAAAACTGCAGCAAAAAATACATGGTAAGAGCAATAGTACTTTGAGGATGGTTGAGTGGGCTCTGGCTCTCTTTCCTCTCACTCAGAAACATGAACATATTGACATTATTGTCCCCTCTCCACGATCCTTTCAATTCAGAGCCCAAGAGTTTACTCAAAAAAAAAAAAAAAATCTTCCATTTCGTTTATTGTCTTTCCTCCACCTTTGTCTTGCTGATGTTCTTCCAGAAGTTCAGGATTTAAAGACATGAAATTAGAAAATAATACTACCTTTTCCTAACTGGGTTTCTGTGAGTTTATTTTTTTTCCCTTTCAACTTTATTGAGGACTGATTTACATTCAATAAATGGCATCCATTAAAATTGTACAATTGCATGAGTTTTGACAGCCAAATACACCTAAGCAACCACCATCACAATCAAGACACAGAACATTTCTATCACCCCTGAAAGATTAATCTTTGATCTGCTTTATGTCACTATAGATTAGCTTGTAGTCTATGTGAATAGAATCATGCAGAATTTTTCTTCTGTATCTGGCTTCTGTCACTCAGCATAATAATTAGATTTATCCATGTGTTGGGTATATGTGATGTACATTTTTTTAAACTGGGATTTTAAAAATAATTTAAATAGAATCAAGAGAGAATAATACAACCAAATTTTCTAAGCCTGTGCTCAGCAGGCAGGTGCTAGGCTCCTACATTTCCATCATTATCCTTCTCTTCAGGGTCATCATCTTTTAATCATATTTGCATAGCACTTTATAGTTTTTTTCACACTTACCCAGTGACTTAGATCACTGTTACTCATACTGATATGAATTACCTGTGGCTCAGAGAGAACGTGTGATGTATTAACTAAAAGGACTTTCCTGGAGGCCTGGTAGGCATATCTTGCAGCAGTGGCTGCCCACCGTGGCTGCCCATTGCAATCATCTGAGAGCTTGGAGTTGGGATCCCATCCCCAGACATCCTGAGCTAGTTGGTCCAAGGGGCAACCAGATTTTAATGCGCAGCCAAGATGACATGTCCAGCTTTCTTTGACAGATGTGTTGGGAGACTAAATTAGCTGTTAAATTTAGAACTGTGCTTCCGGAGGAGAAGATTTGAAGAATTGAAAGACACTCTGTGCACGTGCATGCACGTGTGCTTTTTGGGTGCATGTATTTTCTTAACCAACCAACCAACTCAGACATCCCCAGGAGCTGCTGGTATTATACGTATGGAAAAGCTTTCAAAATTGCCGAGTTGAAGCAATAGAGTCAGGTAAACATTAACCTAAATGATACTCAGGGAATCTCTAGAAAACAAACGTATGTGCCATTAGGTTCATAATAAAAATAAATGTGTTCAATTTGCCTTGACTATTAGCATCTCCAGCACAAATGGATGCTGTAGACAGTGTGGAGTCTGGACAGGGTCTGGTAATCAAATTGAATGAGATGACTGGTATCTCAAAGGGAAAAGCAGGAGGAAGGGAGAGGGGATTCTCTGAATTCCCAGCTTGGTTCTTTCAAGGTAGGGCTTTAGAATAGGGGTCCCAGTTTATATGCCCCCAGGAGCAACTACCTGATGGAAATGAAAGAACTGAGCCTGGTAGGCATTAGAGCAAGTCTCTGTTTAAGGAAGAGAGGGAGCCGCTCCTCAAGTCCAGCCGGTTGTTATGACAAAACTGGGCAGTGTTTCTCAGTTTTCAGTGGAAAGTAGAAATATGGAGCTTTATGTACAACTTCTCGATTACAGCATGGTGGCAATTAATTCTCATTTAAATTAAATAAAGCACATCTTGAAGGCTAACTGTGAGTCTGCCCAGGTTTGGAACTGCTGAAGCTCTGCAATGGAAATTGATTCACTTGACAGAGGAGAAAAAGTTTTCCCCAAAAGTTTCCTTTTCCCTCAACAAAAACACATCTCTGTAACTCATACTTTTTTTTTTTTTACCAAAACACCTACTTTTTTTTCTTGTACACAGAGTTGTTCTCTTCTTATTTCTAGTAGTTTTACTTTCTTTTTTTTTTAGCAGTTTTAATTCCATATATTAGAATTCTTAACTCTTAGAAACTTACATTTCTAGTGAAAACCAGGAAGTAAGCAATTGTGGAGTGTTATAGATGTCAACATCCTGTTGATTGGCAAATTCGTGAATATGCTATTTCCATAATTTCTAAAGCATACATTTTAAAAAAACCAATTGCTATAAAAACTCCCTTGCCAGAATCTAGCACAGCCTTCATGAGATTACTTGTCAAGGGCAGATAAAAATCTTAAAAGTCTTCTTCACAACTATTGGTAAAAAACTTTAGCCATCTGAATGGGTAGCCATAACTTGTTCCATAGGCCAGAAACACAATTTGGACTCTTTTATAAACTGGTGACTTTTGTATCAACGTACCTGATATGTGGCTAAAATTTAAAAACAAAGGCCATACGATCTCTGTGTCTTTCTATATGCTTATTTATGTCTGTATATGTCTGTTACAGACGTGTGATATTTTTCTACCTCCAGATGGTATTACCAAAATAATTTATAAAATCTCTCAAAAAAAGTTCTATTCTAATTGGCATAGAGATAAATGAATGCTCATATAAATTAAGTATTCCTAGATACAAAGACTAATCCAAAAAAAGTTTCTATCAGGGTCTGAATATCAACCTTCAATTTGGCCAACTTCTGACCATACAGCCCCTTAAAAAAATCGTTTCAAATATTTAAACCAAATGACTTGAAACCAAAACCAAAACTTAACCATGGATGCAAGAGATGTCCCCAAGGAGGGTGTAAAAGATGCAGCCCTCCCAAGATCCAGAATCACTCCCAAAGGTAACAAAAGAAAGACTTAGACAACTCCTCCTGAAAGCTGGCGACAGTTGGTAGGATGCTAGCCACAGTGGGGTGCAGCCCAAATTTCTGTATGGCAGATTTTGGGGGCCTACAACCTGACAATTGGTTGCCTCCAAGAACTGACACTTGCATGTCCTGACAGGCAGAAAGCCAAGCCAATTTCTCAGAACACAAAAAAGAGACAAACAGGAAATTGATTAGCTGTCCCTGGGAGGGAAAGGATCAATAACCAATGGATAACTCGAAACCAAATTTTAACCAGAGTCACAATCCAAAGAACTAATTTTTATAAATGTTTTCCCCTGCCAATCTGAATCTGAAAAGGAAAAGACTCTTACCACCTACCCTGGACCAGTCCCCCACAGGCAGAGATCCAAGAAACTGACAGGGCAAAAATTCTTCTGTGGCTTTTGTCACAGATCCAGGATCTCTAACCATAGCTCCTGGACCAAGCAAGGGGTTCCCAGCCAATGGTGCCCCCTGTTGGGTGCCAGATACTGTAGCGGAAAAAAAGTTTTATTTGACCCTCTTAGGGTCCCTGGCACTCAATCTGAAAATTAAACTGACAAAAACAGATTAGCAAGAGAAAGGGGTACACATTTTATTGAATTTTATGTATACATGGGAGCCTTCACAAGAGAATGAAGACCTAAAGGAGTGACCAGAGTAGCAAGAAACAGCAATGAATTTGTAAAGAATTGGCAAGAGTGGGGGTTTGGGCTAGGGGTAGTAAATGGTGAAGAAGTAACTAGGAAGATAAGGTTGAGTTTAATGAGGTTTGTTTACGTAGGTTTCTTGATCCCAAATTCCCTGTCTCTGCCGATAAAAATGTCTTCCTTTTCCTCCTTGTACAGAGAGGGTAACTTTCACGTGGGAGTTTTATGACCTGTTTCAGAGAAGAAGGGTGAAGGGGCTGGGAGGGGTTGGAGTGACCATCCTGTTTCTGCCATTTTCTCAAACTCCTTCAGTTTAAAATATTCAGTCTGCTAAGGTGCCATATTTCGGGGGTGACCTGAACTCCATTAACTTCTTGTTTGCTATTCATTCTTCTGTGGAGTTTCATTTTCTGCCAAAATCCTGTGTGTTGTTAACCCTGGAAAACAACTATCTGCCAAATAGAGATGCTTGGAATAATAGATAAAAATTGTGATTATAGTTACACTTTTGAAATAATTTTTATATCCACTGTGTTCTTTAATTTTGAAACATCCCTGTTATATAGGTACTATAATCATCTACATCATTTACAGTTTATAGAAAATGAAACCGACTCAGAGAGATTCTCATTCCTGCTTTATTTCGAGGCTCAATTGTGCAATGGTATCTACTCATTAGACTGTGATTTGTATATATACACAAATATATGTCCTATGCTATGGTTACCAGTTTCACCAAATGAAGAAATTCTTCGTTGATCTTTCCAGTGAACTGCTTAAGAGTGTATTTGGTAAACAAAGAGCTCAATCTTTTCAGAACATCCTTCTTCCTTTTTGGAAGATGGCATTGGTGAATAGGTAAATTTTCTTTGTAAAGTGTAATGGTCAGTAATCTGTTAAAAAAAAAAAAAGTAGCTTGTCTCATCCCCTGATGGGGCAACATTCTATTAAAATCAGTATGAGAAATATAATTTGAATGATCTTTTAATCAATGTGAAGATGCCAATGAAATAATATCAAATAGGAAAAAAGCAGAATTGTTCTTTTCTTCTTTGGGTTTTTAAATACATTTTTTTCTGATTTCCCATAATGAGCATGTATTAATGTTATAATCAGTAAAATAATGTTAAATTATTTGAGATATATATAATGTGAGATCACTTTTGTTCCCCAAATCACAGGTTTGTTGTTCTCAGTTTTTCTGATCTCAAGTTTTGAATTTATCATCAACTAACTTGGCTGTTCTACTCTCACTTGAAAGCAACATTTCTAAAACCAGATTAAGTTGTCTCCCAAACCAAACTGCCCTTTTTGGCATCCCCCATCTCTGTCCCTTTCATTCTGGATTTTTTTTTTTTTTTTTTTTTTAGTCCATCTCTAGCTACTTATTTCCTCCCCAACGTCTTTTCCTCCAGGGCATGTCTTTGTCACTGCAAGTTGAAATTGTCTTGACACAGAATCCTTGTTTTGGGCTCTCTCACTTCTGGCTGGCATGCCATCACCGCAGAGCCATCTTTCAAAATTATATATTGGTTCATGTCACTTCCTTACTCAAAAACCAAGTACATGGCTTGTTGGAAAAATAGCTATTCTGGTTATTTATAAATTCAAAATGAGCTTGGTACATTTTGTGCCAGGAAGTAAGGAGGTGTTCAAAGAACGACAGGGATATTTCAAAGGGCTTGACTTGGCAGGAATTGACTTGACAGGATGTGGCCATATTTGGACCAAATGAGCGTCTAAAAGAATAATAACAGTTATGAATGATAACACATTGAATTAGAAAATCCATACGTACACAATAATAGAGAAAGAGAGAGATGGGAAATGGAAGTTTTTCTGTGCAGAAAAGTAATAAGGTATAAATGCAGAAGAAGGGATAGAATGAGATAAGCAGCGCCCTGCAACCAGTCATTGCGATAATTAATGATCAGTGGATATGAGGCTCATCAGTGGATGGTAAATCCATCCGTTGAAATGTCTTTGGGGGATAGGATATTACACAGTCTCAAAGTATTACCTCACCAGTTATTTACTAATTGCAAAGTGGAAAATATATGTTTATAGACCTGAAGGACACCACCTTAACCAAGAGGTCAAAGACATCACCAATAGCAGTGAGAGGTCCCTAAGGTATTCATGCCCATCAGGTGTTCTTGCCAAAATGTTTAACCCAAGTCTAGTTGTGAGGAAGAAATCAGAATAGCCCAGATTGTGGGGGACATTCTATAAGACAACTGGCTGGGATTGTTCAAAAACAATTTAATATTCTAAAAAACAAAAAGGCAATAAGACTAATGTAGATCAAAGGAAACTAAAGAGATGCAACCCTGTGCATAAACTCTCATTGGATTCTGTACAAAAAAGCAAAACGCAGTTGCAGAATAATAGAATATCTTTATTTTGGGGACATATGTGCTGATGGGTTTAGGAGTGAGATATCACAGTATCTACAACCTACTTTCAAGTGGTTCGGGAACAGAAATGTGTACATAAATACATACAGGTGCATGGATATATACATACACATACAGAGAGAGAGCAAGCAAAAATGATAAAATATTCACAGAAGATGAGTCTAGACAAAGACTATACAAAGATACATTGACTAGTATACTATACTATATGTTCAACTTTTTGGTAGATTTGAAAAAAAAATTTAGTGAAAGGTATGGGGGCGGGGGAAAGCTACTTGCCCTGAAGGATGAAGCCCACCCTCCTTGATCCAGCATTCAAAAGTCACCTTCTGCCTGCATATACCAAGTTGCACTCACTTTGTAAGCAATGCTGAAGGCTGGGTTGTGTCCAACAGCCCCATTTCCCCAACATTAGCAAACGTGTCAATCTGGTCTTCATAAACTTCTCTCTAACGCTCGGTGGGAACCCTCTCTTAGATCACACTAATCTATTTACCCTTACAACTCTGCTTGTACTGATCGGCCTGTGAACACTGCTCGTTCTCTCTACTCCAAGGAAAACACCCTCTTCCCCATCAATCTTATCCTCACTTGAACATAAATATGGCCATGTAGGCTAACACCTGATATTTCCCCTCATATTCCTGTAAGTGAAGGTATTCACATATCATCTTCACAGGACAAAAGCCAAGGTCCTAGCTTCTGATTCTTAGAGAACCCACCCAATCTAGAAAAGAACGCCTTTAGTAAATATAGATTGATCAGTCACACCCTTTCACTGCATTAATGTATGATCATTATTTTGATATTGAAATTCCAGAAGAAAGGAAGAAATGTAAATTAACTAGGATCCTCTGTGGAATCCCAAACAAAAAGTCATTTGAAAAACTTATTTTAAAGATCAGGTGGGTTTGGATTAAATGTTTCTGTTTTTCCGTGGGCATTTATACAGACTGCATGCAGCAGATTTGGGTGAGTAGGGGAAGGTAGCTATCTGAACATTTATCCACAATATCCCCTCCTCTCATTCGATGGCACCAACCTCCTCCACCACCTTCTCCTCCTCCTCCTTCCTCTTCTTTTTTTTTTCTGACCTCCTTCTTCTATGTTTAATTTAGACACTACTGTCGATGATCTTTTCTGCCCTTGGAATTGCTTTCTCTGGATACTGCCTGGTCATATCTGCTCTGGGCCTCGTTCAGGGTCCCTACTGCCGCACTCTGGATGGCTGGGAGTACGCCTTTGAAGGCACTGCAGGACGGTAAGGAATAATCCTCTAAATCAAGGGGCTCAGAAAGCCAGAAACACCTGGCTTCATGCTCATGCTCATTTTCCATGATCACTTTGGGTTTCCATGTGGGTATGTTAGTGCAGAATTTTCCTATTAAATAATAGACCAATTTCTTCCTACATAGATCTCTGTTTAGACGTTTTTCCTCTCTCTCTCTCTCTCTTTCTTTGGCCAGTCTTTTAATGTCATTTGCATTCACTATTTTGAGGTTGATGTGGAGATATCCAAGTGAAAGGTGTGTTTCTTCCAAACTTCAGAGCAAAGTTTTGTGGTTTCTGTGGCCTGGCAACTGCTGGAGCCTAGGACTTCAATGGTCCTAACAACTCAGTCTTGTTGTGTGGCCAGTTCGGATTGTGCAGTCTGTTACAGCTGGGAAGGGGCCTGTCTGGGAGAGAATCCCAGAGCCCTTGGATGGTGTTACCCACGCTATACCATCAGGGACAACACAGAGATAGAAGCAGGCAGCATGAGCGGCCAAGTTCAGAGTGAGATCCGGGGACACGATCAGGTGCAGGGGTTTGTGGGGGAACCAGGAGATGATCTAGTGTGGACTGAAGAAGAGTCTAGGAAGGCAGCCTTACTTAGAGGGCTGGTGGTTCAGTTAGCTGTTGGGGAACCCAGTGCTGGATTGCAGAACACCTCACACTGGCATTGTACCTGCCACCATCTGCAGAGACAGCTCTAGAGGTAGCAGGGCCATCTAGAGATGCAGGAGACGTCCATTGAATCTCTCCTGATCTTGTCCTATGCTCAGAATTCTAATGGTATAAACGGAGGGAGTGTCTGTACCACTCCCTAGGGAAGTTACAGCCTCTTCTCAGTTCCCTATGACTGGCTCTGTTGTTCAAGACCCACATCTATTTGAAGTCTTACATGCTCAGCTAGGCCTGAATTGCAAAACTGCTTTTGTGCCCATAGCCACCTTTGTCCTGGAAGGTTCCACCAAGTGCCACGTGCTGTGAGCAGAGCTTTCTCTCAGGTCGGGAGAACCTAGAAAATAACCTCAGGCATTTCAGACCACTCCTGTGGGACTTTAGGGGCTCAGGAAAGGGGACCCTAATGAAAAAAATCCCACTAGGTGCAAAAAATGATTTTTTTGTGCCATCATCCCCAGACCCCCAAACCAAAGAAGATTTCCCTTTCAAGTGCAAGAATCTGAGATTGCCCACATGCCTCTCCATTACTCTTTTTTTAAAAAAATTTTTATTGTTATGTTAATCACCATACATTGCATTATTAGTTTTTGATGTAGTGTTCCATGATTCATTGTTTGTGCATAACACCCAGTGCTCCACGCAGAACGTGCCCTCTTTAATACCCATCACCAGGCTAACCCATCCCCCCACCCCCCTCCCCTCTAGAACCCTCAGTTTGTTTTTCCGAGTCCATCGTCTCTCATGGTTCGTCTCCCCCTCCGATTTCCCCCCCTTCATTCTTCCCCTCCTGCTATCTTCTTCTTCTTCTTTTTTTTTTTTTAACACATATTGTATTATTTGTTTCAGAGGTACAGATTGAAAGTTGCCCTTGATATTTGTATTCACCTGACTCCAGCTACAGACAAATATTTGGAGGTAAAACATTAGAAGCCATGAAGGGAAGTTAAGTCTCTGGTCTCCTAGAGAAGTTTCCAAACCTTGGCAAATTCTGGGTGGAACAAGTGTTAATGTTAAAGTTCCACAAATCAGTTATTAATTTGTACGTTTTTCAACAAATATTTCTTGAGCATCTACTGTGCCCAGGCCTTGAATTAGGTGCTACAGAATCAAAGATAAGTTACACAGTTTTACTTCCCTCTAGGAGCTCACACGGACCTGACAACGTTCTGCTAAGATGGAGGTTTTGGAGTGAACATTGCCCTCATAGCACAGGCCTTCAATGCTTACACATCTGGGTTCACGTCTTCCAACTGCTGCTTACAAACTGTATGACCTTAGGGGCGCCTGGGTGCCTCAGTCGTTAAGCGTCTGCCTTCAGCTCAGGTCATGATCCCAGGGTCCTGGGAACGAGCCTCACATCAGACTCCCTGCTCCGCGAGAAGCTTGCTTCTCCCTCTCCCACTCCCCCTGCTTGTGTTCCCTCTCTCACTGTGTCTGTCTCTGTCAAACAAATAAATGAAATCTTTAAAAACAAAACAAAACCGTATGACCTTAAACAGATATCCCTGAGCCTCTGTAAATCATTTCCACCTCACAGAATTGACAATTAAATGGAAACAAAGCACAGATTAAGATTTAATAAATTTTTAGGATAAGCCAGATTTTATGATTAACATCATTACCAAGCATAATGTTTTATGGCTCCATCTGCTGGGTAGTCAGTAGGCTCAATCACGGGCATGGCGACTGCTGGGGATCCTGAATCAGTTCCATTCAACAAGCATTTGTGGATCTTTGCAATGCGCCAGGCACTGCCTTAGGTCTTAGGCCTGGCTATTCAGGGGTGTAGAAATCACGGTAGGGCTCTCAGAGTACACAGCTTAGTGAGGGAATAGATATGGATACAGATAAGACAGACTTACAATATAAGGAAGTAAATGCTGTGATAGAGCTCTATATGGAGGCTGTGGAGGGAGGGAGTATCGGAAATAGCGTCTCCATTCCTTCCAGACCCTGCTAGTGCATTTACTACTCTGTGGTTTACAGGAGGAATAAATAAGCACCACAGTCCAGAAGAAAAATCAACACCATGGAGGTCATCTTGCTTTCAGGTGTTGGGTGATCTGTGCAGAGCATGTACTGGGAAGATCTAGAGTGAGGATCTTGAAGGGATTAGCTTCCCTGGTGGCTGAGACTGAGTTCAGAGTATGAGGGTGTATGGAATGGGTCTAGGGAAATGGTAACAGGAAATTTTATCTGTATCAGGCTTTACAGGTTCCATAGCATTTTTACACACCTTTCACCGAATATTCCTAATAACCCCAGCGTTCCATATGTTAATCCCGTTGTCCAAATAAGACTCTAGAGGTCAGAGATGTGAAGTGTCTTGTCCAAGATCCTACAGAACCAAGAGCTCCCTACTGAGTACTTTTGCCCCTTGAGACCTAAGTGCCTTTAGAAAGATCAGGAAATTCTCGGAGTGCTTCTGAGGGTCCCGGAGCATAGAGAGTAGGAACTAAAGAAAGGGAGGAAAGAGAGAACTAAAGGAAGGGAATAGGAGAGAAACGGGGCAGGGTGGGGGGGGGGTAGGGGAGAAGGAAAAACAAAGAGAAGAGGGAAGTCATGGTGGTGGTGTTCCCCGAAATGCAGAATTCACTGGTCCCACCACAGACACCAATGCTCCAGGCCACTTGCCCAGTAGGCTCTTTGCCTTAGCCGCCATCTCAGGAAAAAGCATATTGCTATTGACAAGGTATTTATGAACAACTCTGCCCTACAAATAGGTCTGATTATCTTTGTTTGGAGAATTCTCTGAGGAGACCAGTTTTCCATTTTGATTCCATTGAACAAGAGTGTGACCCTTAGAAGAAGCACTGCGGGTCATGCTGGATCCGGAAGCGAGCAAATGTCAGTCGGGTAGATTCAGCGTGCTTTCAAGATCATCTTGGGGCATGGTTGAATTCTCACAATCCAGTGCTAAACTAGACTGACGGAACCTTCCGAGTTTTTGCATTCCCACCTCATCACTTAAATTTTAGCAGCAGCAGAGCGCAGCAGTGTTCTAAAGCAGAGGTGCTCGCACTGCGGACTCCAAACCAGCCGCAGCGGCAGTGACACTGGGAACTTAGAAAGGCAAAACCTCAAGCCTCATCCAGACCTTCTGGATCAGAAACTCGGTGGTGGGCGGTGGGGTGGGGGTTCTCTGCAAGCTGCATTTTCACAAGCCCTCCAGATAATCCTGGAACCACTGTTTGAAAGGGCTTTGGGGACAGATTCTAGGAGTTTCTTTTCTTTTCTTTTTTAAGCAAAATAGGGCTTATAAGGGATTTATTTTTTTTTAAGATTTTATTTATTTATTTAAGAGAGAACACAAACGGGGAGCAGCCAAGGGAGAGGTTGAGAAGCAGACTCCCTGCTGAGCGGGAAGCCCAACACGGGACTTGATCCCAGGATGCTGGGATCATGGCCTGAGCGGAAGGCAGACGCCTAACCCACTGAGCCACCCAGGTGCCCCGAGTCTAGGAATTTCTAGAAGCATTTCACTTTGTTATTTCGCCCCTACATGTGGATTTTTTATATCTAGCACAAGCTCAGCCTTGTCCCGGACAGCCCAGGCTAACTTCTGGACTTTTAGGGAATGAGCAATCTTTACCTTTCTTGGTATTGACACGTGCTGCCTTTTATTACTAGTGAATCCTTCAGAATGTGTCTTCTCTTCTAACTGAATTAAAATTGTCTCTGAGGCAGGATCCCTGTTTAAAATAAGCATAGCCCAATGCTTTATGCATGGTATATACTCAATACAGGTATTTGAATGGTTTTTTAAATGCTTTCATTCACATTTAATATTATGTATTTCAGTCATATATATTAATTTCCCAAACATACAAACATCTGTAGCCTTCTTACTTGGACCAAGTATTTTGGCTTGGCCACGAGTCTTGTTCATTATATTCCTCCTCTCTCTCAGTTTCCTTACAGATTCCAGCATATGGACCGAGTGCCTGGAACCTGCACACGTAGTGGAGTGGAACATCATTTTATTTTCTATTCTCATAGCTCTCAGTGCGCTTCAAGTGATTGTTTGCCTCATCAGAGTAGTCACTCAGTTATCCAAGATACTGTGTGGAACCTATTCGGTCATCATCCAGGTAGTAGATCACTAGTAGCACCTGTACCTCCTCCATTTTACCTCCCATTACCCAAGATTCAATGACTCTGGTTGAAAGGTTTTTAGCCTCCAATCTTTTTCTTTCCATCCCTACTGCCCTCAACTAATAGCTCAATTTTTTTTTTGATATTCCAATGTGTCTGTTGGCTTGCCTATGTAGATTGAATCAATGGAATAATTATAAAATCTGCACTCAGTCCTGAATGGTGAAAACAGCACAAGTGTTTTGAATGAGCCACAGTTAGGTGTTTTGTGTAGAAATAGAGCACAAAGAAGTCTTACTATTTATTGAGAATTTCCCTGTTCATAAGATAATTGAAGGCTCACAACATTATCCCATTGAAATAATTTCTCTTCTGAATGCTGCTACATTAACCTAATAATCATTCTTTATACTGAATCATTAGTAATTGGTTTTAAAGTAGAGAAAGATGTTTTTATCCCTCCAAAACTGCTTCTGCTTCATTTGCTAAAATACTGATGTTAATTTAGTTATGGTTGAAATTGCTAAAACTACCCAGCAAGTCCAGAGTGAAGAGAAATCATGAACGAGTTATCTTGTGTCTTATTTAACAAAAAATAATGTATATTTTTTCTAGTATTTTCAAGTAGATATTTTCCTAATTCGTCATGTTTGAATATGAACTATAAATTTAAGTTGCTATCTGGATCATGGATCATTAATCAAGCCAAATTTACTACTTTATTCATTTTCTTTTTCTTTTTTTATAGCCTGGAATCATTTGAATGACAACAAAAATATTTTCCACTATCAAGATGCCATCCATCTGTCTCATATCTACTGTATAGACCTTAACGCAATATTTAAATGATGGTGATTTCTCCGTTTGGTGTTTTTTGAGCCTGCTTATAAAATTGATAGTCCTCCCTGAAAGTGTCAACTATGTCACCCTTCAATTTGGAATTTTTTTCTAAGCAATATGTGCCAGGATTTTCAGGAATACCCATATTCTTTGGTCAAACAAATCCATTTCCAATAATCTATACTATGGAAATAAATAAGAATAGAAGATAAAACTTTATGCAAATACAAATAATACAATATTATTTAATATTCTAGAAAATTAGAAGTACCCCAAAGTTAAACTTTAGGGGAAGGACTAAATCAAGAGTAGTACATTAGTTGTAATATTATATAGTCATTACAAATTATGATACACAGTCATTACAAATTATATTTTAAGATTATGAATACTGTTAATTAAAAAAGCAGATTACAAATTTATGTTTACAGTATAAACATAACCATCCAAGATAAACACCAAATAATCAAAATTTAGGAGAAAAACTCAATCTAGAAGGATTTACAGAAAAATGTCAACTGTCATTTGTCTGGATGATAGGTGACCCTTCCTACTTTTCTCTATTTCCCAAGTTTTCTTTATCATGTTTTATAATTAAAACATATTTTAAAACTCATATTTTTACTATTAAAAATGTTTGCTTTTATCCAACCTTTAAAGATATATGCTTTTTCCACATGTTTTCCCACCTTGATTATCTGTAAACATCATAAAATAACGCTTCAACCCCTCAATAAGGAAAGTATTGAGATAGAAAAGAAAAAAAAAAGGGGTGCCTGGGTGGCTCAGTCGTTAAGCATCTGCCTTCGGCTCAGGTCATGATCCCCGGGTCCTGGGATCAAGCCTCGCATGGACCCCCGCATGGAGCCCCGCATCGGGCTCCCTGCTCGGCGGGAAGCCTGCTTCTCCCTCTCCCACTCCCCCTGCTTGTATTCCCTCTCTCGCTGTCTCCCTCTCTGTCAAATAAATAAATAAAGTCTTTGGAAAAAAGAAAAGAAAAGGCAAAAAAAAGTTATACAAATTTATATAATCTAACTGAACCTTTAACCTTATTGTCTCACTCCTGAGGATGAGTGTGGTGGGCTATAAGAGGTAGCCTTGAAATAAATGAGCAGTCGAGGACATGATCAATGGGTTAAAAAAAGTGACCATTGACCAGTTGATACCTATGTCATAGGGAGTTACCACTACCTGTATTTATAGAAAAAAAATTTTTAGTAAAACATTTAGAATCTTTCTATCTATACCCTATACTTACCATGACCTACTTGAGAACAGCAGCTATGTTATATTATATATTTTCCCATTCTCCTTAGGACATAGCACAAAGAGGTAGAGTAGACACTCAGTGTTGGATATTTATGCCAGGCCCATCTGCCCTTCATGGCTGCTCTGCTGAACACCTGTCTTTATCATAGGCCCCACTGGGCCATAACACTTCTGCCACTTCCCTGTTTCTCTCCTCCATGAACATTGTCAACAATGCTCTGTCAATACCTGCTCTGTGCCAAAGCTGGACAGCAGCTTGGGAGAAGAAGGAAAAATGCTTCTTTCCTTGGCACCTGCTCTGCCCACATCCTCCTTTAAAGGAAGCTGCCCTGACTGCAGCCTTTGCTGATGTGTCTTGAAAGCAAGCCATGTTGTATATCAGATGACCTCCATGCCTGGACCCAGCCAAAAGAACAGGGATGGGCACCCAAGCCATGGGCAGCCTATTGTCGCCCTACTAGCTCTGACTTAGCCAAGAGTGAAACACCATCCCAATGAGATTAGTGGTCATTCTTGCTTGAGAATTTGAACTCAAGGAAGCCAAGAATAAAGCAACCCAATCATTGCTGTCAGGAAAATAATTAAAGGATGGAAAAGACATCAACATACAGAGAGTATCTGATTACTCCACCCAGCCCATAAACTTGTCATATTTATCATCCACCTTTCTTAGTTCTCCCAATGACTCCTTTACCTTCTGGTAAACAGACTTCTGGAAGGTCAACCCCACCAGTTTGTCTGACACACTCAGACTGTCTCAACCTTGTTTAGATTCAATATGGCACCATGCCTTGAGTGGACCATGAGCAGATGTCAGCTGAACGACTCCACCCCAGAACTGGAAACGTTGCCTAAGTACAGGGTTGCAGCCAAATGCAGTAGAATATTTGTATCAGTAAATTAAATATTAACACAGCAACCCCACATTTTTTATTTAAAGAGCATCTGCTAATAAGGCAGTTTTAAGGAAAAAAGCTGGATACAAATCTATGTGTGCACCGTGAGTCCAATTTTTTAATAACCATATGATTACATGTAGACATGTGCAAACCTTCAGATACAGACAAAAAAAGACTGGAACAATACCTAAATGTCAGTAGTTAATAACTATCCCCTAATGGTGGGATTGTAACCCATGTTTCTTTTCTCTACATTGTTCTATATTTTCAAATTTTCATTTGAAAATGTGTTCCTTGAATAATGAGAAAAAATAAATACCATTTTAAAAGGAAGTAGTCTCTCATCCTTTTTATAAAATCTGCTTAAGGAGCTTAAAATAGAAAAGCACTAAACATGAAGGTAAGTGTGTGATAGCCCTTTTTCTTGTTCTTTTCATTTTCTCATTCTCAGAGAGACCAAATATTGCTAATTCTAATTGAGAATGAATTCTATTTTATGCATTTATTTTTTATATTTGCTATTTCTCTCTTATTTCCCTTGCTTCTCTCTCACTGTAATTTTTCTAACTTTTTAAATTGAATGCCTAGCTTATTAATTTCAAACTTTCTTTTTTTCCTTAAAATAATCATTTAAGACTATACACATTTTATTTAAGTGCCAATTTGGTTGCATCTCCCAAGTTTCAATATGTTATATTTTCCTTATTATTTAGTTATAAATTTTTCTACTTTTCTTTAGGATTTATTTTTCCATCTATGTGTTTTTAAATGTGCTTTAAAATTCTCAAATATATGAGTTTGGGTTTTTAAAAAAATAATCCAATCAATAAATCGGCAGAAGACATGAACAGACATTTTTCCAAAGAAGACATCCAAATGGCCAACAGACACATGAAAAAGTGCTCAACATCGCTCGGCATCAGGGA